CCAAATGTGTCAAAATAGGTTTTCCGATGAAATCTTGTGATGGTCATGGCATAGTTAGATTATCTGTTGAAGCCTTTGTTGGTGTATCACCTTCATAGAAGTGAGATTTCTCGACCATATCCACACTAGAAACTGGAAGGTCTATATGAGCCATGCCGGCCTTGCATATGCTGGGCTGGAACTGGCCTTACATCCTTAGTCTGATCTCAAAAGCAATAGTAATTGACGCATAGAGTATATTACTAATGCAACTAACCATATTCAAATTACTTCCAACAATTATTCTGTTCTCCAATCAAGATAATAAGAACTAATGCAAGTACCATAAATCTCTGACGTTCCATTCCTTCATAGATGAAGTCACCAGTTGTTTTTGGGACATCGATGTGAAACAAGAATTTGTACTCTGAAAGAGTGGAAAACTCAATTAGACGGGCAGATGAGGCCATCATCCGCTTGCTGTATATGCGTTGCTCCAAAACTAAACTCCACTAGTTACAAGCTATGGATATACATCGCTACAAAGAAGTTCTGCAGCAGACCTCGAGGGAAGATGTGTTAACGGTCCCCTTCTGCAGTTTCGGTTTCCTCCAAATTGCTGAATTCCAGGAAATGAATCGGCCTATGGTACTCGTGATGAAACTCCCGAGGTGCTTCAAGTTTCATTCCATACTACATGCTTGCCGTGTGTTTAACGCCCATAAAATTGTAATTCAAGGGTCCGTCGTCTGGGATCTGCAAGTCAAATTTCTGAAGATTAATTATGTGCATATCGAAACAAAATAGGTAGAAGAAAAAGAAATTTCAAAAGTATGACGATTTCGATTAACATATTAATAATAAATCTCCATAGAGGATCTACAAATCCGTGCCAAGTAGAAACCTAAGTAACGGTCACTTAAAAGAGCTTGTGCACCTGCAAGAGTGAATCTAAGGTCATACATGGTCCTTCGGTGGTTGTGGAAGATGATAAGGCGTTAGGCAATGTAACTTGATAGTGTTATGTGATTTCATATATGATTATATGTGACGGTTCTTACCGTTTCACGTGCAGACAGTAGGGTAATTTTGCATTGACGTAAATTTGTCCTTCTTAATAAAATAAAAAATAAAAAAATTCCATCATTTTTGTTTTTGTTTTTTTTTTTAAAATTTTTGTCGCTTCCAACTTATAGGTTCTTGTATTCCTAAAATTAAGTTATGCTCTATATTTAGTTGATGCAATTAAAGTATAATCACAAAGAGATAATGTGTAGAGGAAAATCAACCATCCATTGAATTTATTATAAGGTTTTAATTAGCGTGTCTCACTTTTTTGAATTTCATTCACTTTCGTTTTTTGTTTGTTTGTTTGTTTTTTAAATTTTTGTTATTTCCAACTTATAGGTTTTAGTATTCCTAAAATGAAGTTATGTTCCATGTTTAATTAATAGAAATAAAATATAATCACAAAGAGACAGCATGGGGAAGAGAATCTATCACCCTGATTTTATTCTAAGGCTTTCATTACCATTTCTCACTTTTTAAGTGTTTCTCGCTTTTTGAAACTTCTGTCACTTTTTTAGTATGTGTCACTTTTTGAATTTCTGTGGGTAGTGTGTTCCTGAAATTAAATCATGTTGCATGTTTGATTAATAGAAGTAAAATATACTCACAAGACATAACATGTAGAAGAAAATCAATAGTCATGGATCTATTCTAAGGTTTTAACTGACGTTTTTCACTTTTTTGAATTTCTTTCATTTATTGAATTGCTTGTATATTTAATGCCACTTTCTAATTAAAACATCACAGTTAACTTCAGTACAATATTTTTCATTTTTAATATACTTTTCATATGATTTATCAAGAGGACACTAATTTTAAGGGTGGTTTTTCCCTTCCGTAAAACAAGTATATTTCGAAATTTGGGCTTTGAATTTCCTACTTAGACAACTAGATGAGTATGGGCGAAAGACGGTCAGAGGGGGCCGACTTGGCTGTTGGGCCTATAAATTTTGGATTTTACAATCTGAGCTAGAGTCTTGGGCTTTTTAAGTTTAGCCCAATTAATTTAATTCTATGTTGGAATGGGCCTGACAGGCCTTGAATTTCATAGGCCCGAGATCATATTTCAGGTTGCTAAGCTTAATATAAAAAAATAAATGTGTGACTTATTTTTTACGTGAATTCATAGCATTCAAAATAGAATAATGCTATTTGCAGTAGTTCATTGCGGCAGTCGTCCTATGTGGCATACATATGACATGTGATTATTTGATGCATTAATGAATAAAAAAACTACCACATTAATGTATCAAATAATCACCTGCCATGTGTATGCCACGTAGGGCGACTACGCAGTGAGAGACTACAAATAGCATTATTCTTCAAAATAAGGTAACATAAATCACTCCCACACATTTAGCGACCAAAGCAAGTAAATTATTTTGAAAGATTTGGTTAAAAGACATAATAACAATAATTTTTGGTTCTATAGATCTGGTTGTCATTTTTTAAAATCATAATCAGTTCAATTTGAATTAGAAACATATCGTATTGGATGTAAATTTAGCTTTTATTTCCTTTTTTAAATCCAGTTCAATTAAGTGCTTATTTGGTAGGGATTTTGATAATTGATTTTGACAGTTAGATATAAATTGAGTTCTATTCGTAAGAGAAGAATTAAAAAATGACGGCTAGAATAGTGAAATAATGATCAAAAAATTGATTTTAATTGACTTAAAATCTGTATCAAATAGACACTAATACAGTTTAATCAAATTATGAATACGATTCTAATTCAATGTGCAAACACGACAAGAAAGAGAATTAAAAAGAAGAAAAATGCAGATGGGAGTTAAAATTGATTAGAGTAGATGGTGATGATTGACTAAGAACCTTTATAAATTCCAATACAAGTGAAACAATACATAACACAAAATCAAGTAGGGACAAGCTATAACAATCCTCAAAAATAAAGCCGTTTCAAGACGGCCAACAAAAACCCACAAAACCACCACTTTCTCAGCCGGCTCTCCTCCTCCACTCCCTCCACCATTTTTCTCTATTTTTATATTCTTATTGGATTCAGGGCTCAATCTTTCTTCTATAAACAAACCCTTTATTTCCAATTGACTTTTAAAGTTTGTATTTAGAAGAGTGATCAGTGAAGTTTCATGGCCAAAACTTCAAAGAAAAACCAGAAGAGCAGCTCAACCAATAGCATTACTGATAAGAATGATGCAATTGGGAAGTCGAAGAGGACCAGAAAAAGCGTCCCGAGAGAGTCTCCGCAGCAACGCAGTTCGATTTATCGGGGCGTCACAAGGTGAAAATGCTATCGTAAAAAAACTTGTCTTCTTGATTCTTTTATCATTTTTCCCACCTTTTGATCCCGTCATGGTTTTGAAATATTATTTAGATTTAGGGTTCGATCTCAAAATGTCGACTTTGTAAGAAAGAATAGTCCAAATCTGTATACTTTAGTTACTGATTTTATATCTAACGGATGATATCTCATTTCAGGCACCGGTGGACTGGTCGTTATGAAGCTCATTTATGGGATAAGAATTGCTGGAACGAGTCTCAAAATAAGAAAGGAAGACAAGGTTAATTAATTTCTGACTTAATTTAATCGTTTTTGCTTTTTTACTTATAATTTTTTTTTTAATGCTAAATCTTTTGCATTACTAATTCTTCTTCTTTCTATGATAAATTGTCCATGGTGGTTGTGGTGGATCCTATAAAAATGCAGTTTATCTGGGTAGGTTCACTATCTTAACTACATTATGTTTAATCTTCTCAATCGAAATCATAAAATTAAACAATCTTTATTAAAAAAAAGAACATGTCTCCTGAACATCAGTTCCTATCCCGACTCTTTGATTTTAAGAATGCTATAAAATGATTTTTGGCTGTTTACAAATCATTTTTTCCCCCAAAATTGATGTTATCCAAATTCTGTATTTTTAGGGGCCTACGATGATGAAGAAGCAGCTGCACATGCATATGATTTAGCAGCATTGAAGTATTGGGGACAAGATACCATATTGAATTTTCCTGTAAATTAATTTCTTTTCTTTGTAAATGCAAATATTTAATTTGGCACATAATATTGAACGGAACTAGACTGTACCAAAGACGTAATTTTAACTTTTTTGTTAATTATTTAGCTCTCAACATACCAAGTGGAGCTTAAGGAAATGGAAGGCCTATCAAAAGAAGAGTATATTGGTTCCTTAAGAAGGTATATGAATATTTTCATTATTTGATTTATTTACCTATAGTTTTTTTTTTTAAAATTATGATTTTATTTTATTATATATAACTTTCAGGAAAAGCAGTGGATTTTCTCGGGGAGTGTCAAAATATAGAGGCGTCGCAAGGTAAAAATAAGGGATTTCCTTTCTACTCCTCCATAAAGAAGGTTATTATAGGGGACGTTTGATACACAAGATGGACGTGTGTGACAAATTATATCGGTTCTTGAATTTTAGTAGCATTCATAATAGTATATATTCAAAACAGTTTATTGAATAGAACAATTGAAATTTCATCACGTGTATCTTTGTATTAATCTTATTGAGTTATTTAAGTCGAGCATAATTATATATTCAAGATTTTAGTATTCTAACCTGTGTTGTAATTTGATGCATAGACACCATCATAACGGAAGATGGGAGGCTCGAATAGGCAGGGTATTTGGCAACAAATATCTTTACCTCGGAACATATGGTATGTATGCATATATGTGAGAATTTGCATTGTAAATTTTAGATTTTTTTTTACTATTTCCTTCCAATTTCTAGATAGGTATACTAATACTCGACCCTAGCTCGTATTAAAGAGTTATGCTGACATTCAGCAATCTTGGCGTCAATTAAGAGTATTGGGTGATTTGACGTCCTAAATATAAGGATGAATGTCATATTTTAAAATGTTTAATCACTTAATTGACACTTAAACTGCGGACTTATACTGCGGACAAAAACACGCATATAATGGCAAATGGTCAAACAAGGCCAAGCAAACAAATATGGTTGGATAGTTGGTTCATATATAGATCACCAACTCTCAACTGCTAGGGTTGTTAATTACTACGACTTAATTTTCAAACCACATGACATAATTTCAACCCCTCCCCACCAAATTTTGCCAGCATATTGAATTCTTGAATTTATTGTTTATTATATATATGTGTGTATATTATGTATATATAGGTACATAGGTCAAAATTACCCTCGATTTTTTATTATTTATTTGTTTATTTATTAATATTGCATTGCAGCCACACAAGAAGAAGCAGCAACAGCGTATGACATGGCCGCAATAGAGTATCGTGGACTTAACGCTGTTACTAACTTTGATTTGAGTCGTTACATCAAGTCGCTACGACCTAATGAAAATAACACCGACCATCCTCAACCGAATCCTAACCTGAATCCAATGTCAAATCCAGAATTAGGGTTTGGCGTCCTTCACCTCCTAACACAAAGCTCAAGCTCAGCCGAAATAGCCGACACTCGTCCGCAGCCAGGTAGCGTAGCCTCTACTTCATCTGCACTAGGGATTTTGCTACAATCCTCCAAGTTTAAAGAAATGTTGGAACAAACAACAGCACAAGATAACCCTTCTAGCCCTTTGGAACCGGGTGCTCCTCGACGAAGTTTCCCAGACGACATACAAACATCATTTGAATTCCAAGAATCAAGCAGTTTTGCTGAGGAACATGACATTATCTTTGGTGACTTGAATTCATCATTTGCATCACAAATATTCCGAAGTGAGCTTGATGCTTAATTAGCTAAGCATGATCAAACAATCCAGGAGTTTTACACGAGATTTCTATTGTGAATAGAAAGTTGAACAGCAATGGCGGATATATACATGATAAACACATTAAGCTATTTGACATGTCAATTAAGACATGTTTTTCTTAAGATTTTTTATTACCCATTTTTGAAATACTGTTGCTTCATTATTATGTAGATAGAGTTGGAATTAATATATACATTCATTTATCTGATTATCATGTAAGTAAGGGTTTTCTTCATACTAAATCTTTGGTTATCTTTTTGGTCTGTAATTTAATCTATCCATTATTGGTAGACTTCTTTTCTTACATTCTAATCACTGGCATCTGTGTGTGGTTAATATTTGATAAGAAAAGAATAGATTATGCTATAATCAATTATAAAAAGTGAAACACTGGACACACACCCCCACCCCCACACCCACACATACACATACTTTTTTGGGGCATGGGGGTGCCCCCGGGTTGGGGGGTGGGGTCCATTGTTGAGTCCATATAAAATGCCTTTATGACCCATCAACTAGAAGGGACCCTCACAAAATGGGAGTAGAGTCCGCAGACAAACAAAATTTTCGGTTATAACTTTTAATACAGAAATTATGGCATTTATTATAAGGTACGACATGCTACTTAATTATTAGCAACGTTGTTATCACTTGATTGAATTCGATCATGTCTAGGATTTGAGTGAGTTGGTTAGGAAAGACGAGAAAATTTGATGAGTGAAACAATAGAATAAAAGATGTTCAAAATGCAAGATAAATTTTATAAATTTAATTTTTAAGTGTTCACCCTCCTCAACCTTGTCTCAACTTTCCATGGGTAGTAGAGACTCAAATATGTTTTACTTCACTTTTTCTTTCAATTGTCTAGGTATTTGAAAAAGACGAGAACCAAGCTAAAGACAGAATAAAAAATACCAATACACACAAGAGTAATAAAACATTCCTTTAGTTGATTTTTCACTTATGTTATGTTTTCATGTCGTTTTCTTTCTCATCCCATCGACACCAAATACCCCTTCCCTGAAGCTAAGTAATCCAAACAACTTCAGCCCTCTAACCTCCAAGAAAAAAGTCGAAAACCTTATAGACTAGAAGACTTTTAGTTTATCCTTGGTCGAAGATACATTTACTTGCTGTGAATGACACTATACTTTTTTTGCGTCGGTAAAGGCTTGGGTTGCTGAAATTCTTGAGCCTAGTTGTTGATCTGCAATTTAAGTGATAACCCGGCCAAATGATTGGTCCATTTAACTAAAGGTTTCAAAATTGTTGAAAAACCGTGTTTTGGAAACACTACTTTACTTCTGAAAGGTGTCCCACGCTTGATTTCTTACACTTGGCATTTAGATAGCCATTGGATCATTTACTGGACCTATCTCTCATAAATAGCAATTTTAACTCTAGGGTTGGAAATCTCTCGTGTTGATTGCTGCATAACTTTAGGTTGAACTCGCTTCCCAACAAGCAATCGCTCCTCATAGCATTCATATGAAAAGCACTAAGTATTCCCTGCCTGCTTAGATGCGTCAATCGATCCGAGCTCTCTTATTGAATTGCTCATTCAAGTGAAATCTAATCCACGAAATTTAGGGGATCCCTTTCCCGAACCCATACGCAGCCCAATATCATCATACTTATGTGTGTTTTCTCTACTGTACTCTCTTCATCTTCTGGATGAATTTCTTGTAATTTCTGAGTGAAATCTTGTAGAAGTGTAAGAGAGTGATGAGATCCATCTCTTGGTGAGATTGGAGTATAATTTTCTGAGGGCCTTGGTGGTTTTGAATGGTAGAACACCCATGTTTTTTCTGTAACTTGGTTTTGCCCCTTTTTGGGGTTGTGATCGTGGATTTGAGAGTAATCTTAATGGATTCTCAATGAAAGATGTAGGCATTGGATTTGGTCGCTGAACTTCCGAGCCTTGGGGCGAAAACTCTTCGTGTTCTTCATTTTCTTGCCATTTACAATTTATATTTTCTTTAAATCTAGGCGTTGGATGTGGTTTTGAACGGCAGAACGCTTGTGTTCTTTCTGTAACTTGATTTTATCCCTTTTTGGGATCGTGATAGTAGATTTGAGTGTAATCTTAATGAATGCTCAACGAGGGATGTAGGCGTTTGATTTGGTCGTCGAACTTTCGGGCCTTGGGTCGAAATATTTTCTTGTCATTTACAATTTATATTTTCTTTAAATCTAGGCGTTGGATGTGGTTTTGAATGGCAGAACACTTGTGTTCTTTCTGTAACTTGGTTTTACCCCTTTTTGGAACTGTGACAGTGGATTTGAGTGTAATCTTAATGGATGCTCAATGAGGGATGTAGGCGTTGGATTTGGTCGTCGAACTTTCGGGCCTTGGTCGAAAACTCTTCGTGTTTTTTATTTTCTTGCTTGCCATTTACAATTTATATTTTCTTTAAATCTAGTTGAGTCACAAAAGGGATCACTTTATTTGGTGTATCAGAGTCACTGCTTAAATTTTTTTTTGTGGAATTTAAAGTTTTTAAAATTGTTCTTCGATCCTTTTGTGACTACATTGTCTTAGAAACTCATAAAATATGATAGATATGCTGTTATTGTACAAGAAAGTGCCTTCGATATGAATCTTGAGTAGATCTGAGGTATCATTTGGGTATTCTTGGCACAGATTGTAGTTCTGGTTATATCTATGCTAAACCCATTTTAATACTTGTTGAATCTTTGTTTTTAAAAGATTAAGTTTTAGGGATTTCTCTGAACCCTTCTTTAATTTACCTTTGTCTAGGGTTCGTTGAGAGAGTCCTAGAATATGAGGGTATTAGGGTACGGTGAAGAAAATCCATTAGGGGTTCTCTCTTTACTGTCTTGCAATTTAATGTTATTGTTCGCTGCATAACCTGATTCTTAAGCATTGAGTTGATAGTTTTAATAATTGATCTGCAGAAGTTATTACTCAATTGATACTTGTATTTGTGTTTATATTTTTCATATAAAGATTGGCAAGACGGTGCCTTTTTAGTTACTGCAAGAATCAATCTGTTAATTACAGTTTACTGAGTGTGAACTATTTCATTACATACCTTTGTTGTGTGTATTGTATCTTGTGTGATCTATTCAGTTGAGTTTAAATTCTATCTGTATCATCTTGAACACAATTGTGACACACTTGCACAGTATTCCAATAAAATTGATACTCAGCACTGGGATGGTAAATGAAACCCTATCTCAAGATAGGAAAACTGAGCAAGATGAATTAGCATGAAGCACCTTGTTTCTTCATTTATTTGACTCTATAATTAGAAAGATAGGAAAGACTAAAACTGCTACTGAATTATGGACAACCTTAGAAAAACAATATGTTACTAAGTCCCTGCCCAATAAATGTTTTCTTTGGAAATAGTTCTTCAGTCATAAATTTGACCCTAGTGTAGATCTGGAAGAAAATATGGACAGGTTCAATAAAATCACCCAAGATCTAATCAATTGTGGGGAAAAGATCTCAGATGATCAGAAAGTAGTTGGTCTGCTTAGTATAAGGATATTCGAAATGCCTTAGAATATGATAGAAGTGACCTAACTGTTGAAATTATTCTTGATTCTATTAAGAACATAGACCTAGAACTTAAATCTGAACATAGAATAGCTTTACACATTGAGAAACCCTTGTCCAATCCTAAATTCCCTACTAGAGGCTTAAATAATTTTGGCCAAGCCAATTACAATAAACATAAAAATTTCTCTAAAAGAATATGGGGGAATAATAAAGGAAATGATAAAAAAGTGTACCAAGAAAAGGCTAACAATAGGAAGTGCTATTACTGTGGTAAAACTGGACATTTAATAAAAGACTTTTTCAAGAAAGCTAATGACTTGGGGAGTGGGTCTAACCATGATAATGGTACGTCAGCCATTATTGTTTACTATAGAAGGGATGAAAATGCTGATATTGGGGTTACTTATGTGCTCTTATTAGAAAGACCTGAACATGAATGGGTTCTTGATTTAGGATGTTCCTTTCATATGAGCCCCAGTATCAATTGGTTTACTAATTTCTCAAATCTTAGCGATGGGTTTTTAAAATTGGGGAATAATGAATCCTGTCAAATAAACGGAATTGGGAACATTGTTCTAAAGTTGAAGAATGGTCAACTTTTAAGACTAAATCATACTAGGTATGTTCCAACACTTAGAAGAAATCTTATATCCTTGGGGGTATTAGATGATGAAGGGTATCAAATTAAAATTAATAATGGTGTTACAAATATAATTAGAAATCAGTTACTTATAGTCAGAACACCCAAAACTAATGGCATTTATACCATAAAACTTGACTCTACTGTTCAGAACACTATTGTGAATTAGGTGACACAGACTGATAAGTCAGAATTATGATACAGAAGGTTAGGTCACCTAAGTTAGAAATGCTTAGAGTCCCTTTCAAAAGTAGGTGCCTTTAGAAGCAACAATGTTCAAAAGTTGACCTTTTGTGAACATTGCATTATGGGAAAATAGAATAGAATACCCTTCAGTCATGGTATACATAAGACACAAAATATACTTGAATACATTAATAGGAACCTATGGGGGCTTGCACCTGTATCTACTGCATCAGGCTATAGATATTATCTTCTTACCATTGATGACTATTCTAGGAATGTCTGGATTTCTTGCTACAATCGAAGTCTGACACTTCTCAGTCTTTAAGGAGTGGAAAACTTTGATAGAAAATCAAACAAGTAGGAAGATTAAATTACTAAGAACCGACAATGGATTGGAGTTCTGCAATACTGAATTTGATCAGTATTGTAGTACTTATGGCATACTTAGACATAGAACTGTGCCTTATACCCTTCAGTAAAATGGTGTTGCTAAGAGGATGGATAGAACCATCCTCGAAAGAACTAGGTGCATGCTGACGACTGCCAAAATGTTTTTGGGGAGAGGCAATAAAGACTGCTTGTAGTGTCCCTCCACTTCATGAGATAATAAGGTACCACAACAAATCTGGTCAGGATTTGTTCTCGATTACTCTCATCTAAGAACATTTGGGTGTACAACCTATAGGGATGGCAATTGGGCTCGTCGACTCGGGCTGAGCTCCTTTTTGGATGCCGGGCAAAGCCCAAGCCTGCCCGTGTGGCTCACCGACTGGGGCTCACGATCCATATTTAAAAAATAAATAAATAAAAAATAAATAAAGGTAGCATGTTGCTACCCAGCAAGGCAACAACCTACTTCCTTTATTTATTATTATTTTTTTAAATCCAAAACCTAAAGC